GGAATTCGGGGAGGGAACAGCGTTGGGGAATCGGGGAAGGGGAACAGACAAGTTGCTGTCCTTTTGTTCTTCAGTCTAGTTGTGGAGGACGTCAGTCACTTCACTGGCCCATGTTGGTATTGTGATCATTGTGCTCTTCTAGGCTGAGGCAGATCAGTCACCGGCCACTGGACGGCCACTTACGGTGGCTCACAGCAGCTCACGCTGGCTCATGGCAGATTACGCCAGCAGCCGGCTGTTCACGGTAGCTTACGGCAGCCCACTGCAGCCTACTCCGTCGCCGGCGACTCACAGCAGCCCAGCTCTAGGTCCAGCTGTTGTTCACCATCTTAGCTGTAGAGGGCGCAGCCTCACTGGTCCATGTGGGATCCAAACCGGCAGCCCTGCTGCTCAGATCTCGTGCTCCCAAGCCAACTCCTAATCCACGTGCCACTGGGCCGGCCCTGAGGATTCTCACTGCGGGCTCCCTCCAAGACTGCTGCTCAGCAGTTAGGGCCCTTGTCTGTCCCACTCACACGGGGCCCAACCTACAGGGGTGCTAGGACATCACAGGAACAAAGTGGACAGACAATGCCTCCCATCAGAACCCTGCATGTGGGCGGTGAGGGTGGTTGTTAATCTGCTCCTTTGGCTGAGACAAAGTACCACAGACTGGGGCCTTAAACAACAGAAACTTACTGTCACAGGAATGGAGGCTGGAAGTCCAAGATCTAAGTGTCAGCAAGGTCGGTTTCTTCTGAGGACTGTGAGGGAAGGACCTCTCCTTGGCTTGTGGGCGGTCTTCTTCTCCCTGTGTCTCTCTGTGTCTCTTCACCTGGTCTTCCCTCTGCATATGTCTCTCTCTGTGTCCTAGTTTCCATTTTTTAAAAGGGTTCCCTGTTTATAAGCACACCAGTCACATTGGATGAGGGCCCACCCTAATGACCTCACAGTAACTTAATTACCTCTATAAATACCCTCTCTCCAAATAAGGTCACATGCTGAAGTGCTGGGCATTAGGGCTTCAACATATGGATTTGTGGGGGACACAGCTCAGCTTATGGCAGTCGTGGTCAGAGGCGAGGCGTGGGTCCACGCTGCCTGAGCGCCGGTCTTGCTGCTACCACTCGCAGCTCCAGGGCGTGGTGCCTGATTCATCTTTATAAAATGGTCGGGTTCATAGTGGTTAAGTCAGAAAGGTTCTGTGAGTTCTGGGTCACATAACGAGTGCTCTCACTTACTGTTTACTCTTATTATTTCTAATTCTGGTAGTTGTTGTCGTTACTGGTGACGTGCTAAGGGGTCCTGCAAAAGCAGGCAGTGGCTTCAGGGAGAAATTGTTAAATGCTCATTACTGGAACCGTACTCCACTTCACTAAAAACGTGTTTCATGTTTGAAGAAATAGAGTGTGAGCGTACCGTGTTCATTAGCCTTTCTCGGGAGCCCACAGGTTATGGGTTTGCTCCTCGGGCAGAAGAGGAAGTTCCCATCAATTAGCGGAGGGAGGAGGCAGCCAGTCAGGAGAAGGCAGCCAACTCATCAGAAGGCACGGGCTCCACCTGCAGGCAGCTGTCTTCTCCAGAAGACTCCCTTTGGGGGAGCTAAAGATGCTCCTTCATTACGAGGAGTTGTAGCTCACGCAGGGCTCAGGACCCTTCACCTCCTTGGGCTGGCCGTCCTGTTTGCAGCAGTCCCATGGAAACTGAAGTTCCCTAAAGTTGGAGCCGGCACCTTATGGCCCGTGCAAGCCCAGTACGGTGTCTGACCCAGGGTCAAGGTTCCATCAGTATTCATGGATGGACTGACTCTTTATCATGCTCTGGGACCCTGCTGGACGGCAGACACTGCTGGGGGCCCTGAGAACACAGAGAAGAGTGTGCTAATCCCACCTGGAGGAGCCCCAGCAGGAATTCCATACCATCGAGGTCACATGGATTGATGACAGTCATTCCTCCAGATTCCCCTAAGATTGGTTTAGTTGTTGCACCAAATGAACTTGAGGAATGATGGCCTGTTATAGCCCCAAGTCATTTGACCATGATGCAAACGTGAAGACGTCTGCGACCCCAAAGCCAGGTGGAGGGCGAAGAGGCAGAGACAGAGAGAGAACTGTTCTTGGGAGGCAGGGTGTGTGTGTGGGGAGGAGGGGGGGAGGTTGGAAGGAGTGCACTCAGACACTCTCCAAGACGATCCCCCAGGGTCACAGTCAAGAAAGGCTTCCCAGGCTTTGAGAAGTTCTTAGAAGAAACTGCCCGTGGCAATGTTGAGAAAACAGTCGGGAAGTTTAATGCTCTATCAAGCTGGGAAATTGGAGGAAAACAGGGTTATGCGTCCTCGCTGTGGGGGAGCGGGGATGGCAGGCGGAAGAAGTCAAGCCTCTCTGCATCTCTCAGCCCAGCTAGATAGATCCAGACTTGGCAGGTTCAGCCAGGGCAGGAAGGTGGGGACCCAGGCCCGCCACTCCGTGACTGGACTGTGACTGAGGTGTTGGTGGGTGCCCGGTGGATGGTGGGAGCCAACGCCCCCAACCTAAGCCTGGAGCAGGGCTCTGGGGTGAAGCTGTTTTGTGTAGCTCCAGCCTCTTTCTGCCGTTTTAGCGGCTTTGTGACCTTGCCAAGTCACTTAACCTCCCATGGCCATAACAGAGCACCCACCTGCCGGGGTCCTGAACTACCCCACAGGCCTGGCCACTGTTGGCACATGGGTCCAGGCCACCAGCTCTGCTGTGAAAGAGGAACACCACCATTACCTGAAGGGAAAGCATAAACCGCCCCTCGTAATTACCGTTTTCACCGTGCCGGTGCTGTCTTCCCATTGGCTGGCTCTCTGATCCCGCCTGTTGTCCTCCGCAGAGGCCGTATGAAATCCACTCGGCCATGCCCATCGATGAGATCCTCAGCATGTTCAAGGCCGAGCGCGTCCACTACTCCTCCGCGTGGTGCAAGGGTATGGTCGCCCTGCTGAAGAAGGTAAGGAAGCGGCCACCAGCCTGCCTGGCCAGGGAGCTGAGGTCACTTAGTGCAGAAGCACGCATACCAGCAAATAGAGGCATGAGAAAACGAATGGAGTAACAGTGTGGAAATAACAAAGTAAGCAGGGCTCTAACACCACCTCATCCACGCTCTCAGGATCTTACGATCGAGATCACAGAGCCGCCGGACAGTGGAGTCTGGCGTGGAGTCATGTCTGTCTGGAACAGCACGGCCCCCAGGCCCTTTACCGCCCATGACAAGCTCCTAATAAATAGAAATACTTAGTGCTGATGGCCCTTGAAAATTGTTGCTACAAAGTGGTCACTTAACTCACTGAGCTTTAAGAAGTTGGGCATCTCCTGACTTTTTTCCAGGAACTGTTGCTATTAGAATAAAGCGGTGGTTCTCGAAGTGTGGTCCGTGGACCGGCACCCTCAGCACCACCGCGGAGCTTGTGGGACCCGTAGATTCTCAGGCTCCACCTCGACCTTCTGAATCAGAGACTCGGGATGGGCCCAGCTGTGTGTCGATAAGCTCTTTGTTTGTAAATCTGGTGCACACTCGAGGGCAGGAGGTCGTAGTGCCCTCCAAAGCTGGCGTTCCTCTTCGGTCAGTTGGAATCCCCCAAGAGACATAGTGTCAAGTCTTGCGTGTGGGTGGGTGGCATCCAGTCATTTTTAAAGAAGAGTAATAGTAACAGCAGCAGCATCGGTTAAGGGAATAGTGTGCCTGCACCACATGGCGGCTCTTCTCCTTACCAGCCCTATGAGCAGACCAGTGGTTTTAGCCCCGTAGGAGAGATGAGGAAACCGAGGCTTAGGAAAGCGGAACGGCTCGACCACAAGGCCACTAAAGGGCAGAAGCAGGGTTTGAACCAAGCCCTCCCAGCTCCAGATTCCAGCTCTTAATCCCCACCCTGCTGTAAACCCTCCCCAAATTACAAATCAGTTAAATTGCTTTAGAGGAGCTGCACCACCTGGCTTTTAGATGTCTGTGGTCCTTCACCCCAGCTGGTCGTGAGAACCACTTGGAAGCGCTGAGCCCATGGCAGTGCCTTCACTCCCACCCATCCATTGAGTCAGACAACTGCTGCCCTAACCGGCGAGCACCTAGCTGGCACTGCAACGGGGTTTCTGTTTCCATCTGCACCCACCTTTTGGGGGTGGCCCCTAAAGAGGCCACCATGATCAGCAGCTATACAGCCTGCCAGGTGTCCCTCATGTGGTGTGACTTTAGCCCGCTCTCTGGGCACAGCCAGGAGATTTCTGAAGTGACAGGTGGGAACAAACTGTCAGGGGGCTCTGACTTCTGTCTCCCACATGTCGGCGGTGAGCCCCCCTTGGCATGTGCCAGGTCCCTACCAGGCCCGTTTGGGTCTCCTCCTAATCAACATCTGGATGTGGAGGAGTTGCCATTGTCCTGCTTTCAGACAAGGACAGAGCACAGAGCCGCCAGCAGCGCCCCTGCGGCCACGTGGCGGTTAAGCGGCCGTTCCAGGACCGGTGCTCTGGTGCTTTCATTTTTAGCCCAGCGTTCTTTGCACTAGATAAGCTAGAGTGTTTTGACAAGCGGAAAGCCTCATGTGGATGCAAGGTAATAGTCTATGGCTGTTTTTATACTGTATCACCCTCATTAGCAGAAATTCTGTTTGAGGAGAAGCTGAAAATTGTCCCCTTGGCTAAAATGAGATTGCTGCATCGGGCCACAGAGGGCACCTCATACTGTCCAGAGTAAATTTTATGGCACTTTGCACGTCCCATTACTAAGCTGGAAATTCCAAGAATGAGGTGGCTGATTCTTTTTATTTTTAATTGGAAGCCTCTGCAGACATCAGTGAGAGCTGGCTTGTCACAGGGCAGTTGTCCCCAAGAGGAGCAAAGCGGCTACCAATCTAGTCCCTGCCCAAACAGTCGCTTGCTGGGTGACCTTGTGGAAGCATCCTGACTTCTCCGTCCCTCCCTGCTCTAAAGACATGAGTGTAGGTAACGCTTCTAACGACAGCACCCCAGGCAGGGCACGACGTGACCAGAGCGTATAAAGCAGAGGCACCTTCATTTTCCCGAGACTCCGCCCTCAGAGCCCCGCTAACCTCGCTGGGCGCACAGCTCAGGCAAGCACGTTTGCCCTGTGTCCGCAGCTCCTGACCAAGGACCCCGAGAGCCGCCTGTCCAGCCTTGGTGACGTCCAGAATGCACCCTACCTGGCCGACATGAACTGGGACGCAGTGTTTGAGAAGGCACTGACACCCGGCTTTGTGCCCAATGTGAGTGGGGGTCCTGTCCGATGGCATGCCACCCTGCTGCAGAGTCCCCGCCTTGGTGCGAAGGAGGACCCGGAAGCTGTGCAGAGCGGCCTCTGCTGGCCACGGCCACTTGAGCACTGAAGGTTTATAGTTCACGCTTCATTGAGGGTCAGCACAGGTGCTCAGAAGCCGGCCTCGTTGGTACCTATCCAGACCCCTTGTAGTCTGAATGGAGGTGGACACTCAGGCTCAAAAAGCTTTCCACCCGCCACACACATGCATATATACGTACATACATGCATACATACATACTTACATACATGCATGCATACATACACACACCACCACCACCACCGCCAGCACCACCACCTTCAGCTCAGAAGCAAGAGATTTGTTGAGGCCACTAGACTGGTAGGTGGGGATCCCAGACTTCCCAGAGTGGTGTTTTATGTCAGATTATTTTAAAGACTCTGTCATCCCTTTTGATACCCCCAAAAAAATCTGTTTTCCCAAACCGGTTTCTCCAAGAATCCAAGGCTTCCAGTTCCCTTTTCCCTTCACATGCACCTTTCTGAAGCCAGACTCGCCCCACAGCGTCCTCAGCATCTGGACTTGCTCCGCTGAGAGCAAAGCCTGGATGAGACACTGTCCCTGCCTGTCTAGCCCAGCACACAGCGTCCTCGGCGGTCTGGACGGGCCGTCCTCGTAGCCCACCCATCTCCCCACTTCCCTCCCGGCCGGCCTGCGGACACGCTGCCTCTCTCTTCCAGGCCGTGGCCCCTGCCACTGCCACTGCCTGGACCTCTGCCCAGCTGCCTAGACCGGCTTTCCGAGGGACTCCGCCCCAGAGGAAGCCTTGACCGGCTCCCTCACCCCAGTGCTGCCTCCTGCTCAGAGGGTTCCCTGCCTCCCCATGCAGCCCTCAGACAGCTGGGAGAAACAGACGGGGTGTGGGGGCCGGGGCCCGGGGGCGGGCTGAGCACAGAGCGGTGCAGTCACTGCTCTTTCCCCTTCCTCCCGCTGTAGGAGTTTGGAAACTGCTTCAGCTGTGTGTGTGTGTGTGTGTGTGTGTGTGTGTGTGTGTGTGTGTGGCGGGGGGGGGAGGTGACTGCTCTTTTAATCAATGAGCCCAGCAGAGGCCTGTCCCATTCCCTTGACTGACTTCCTTCAGAATGCATGCTCTGCATATACTCCGCTGTCCTCTCCCGCTGAGCTCAGGCCAGATTGACAGCCCCCAGGACCGTGATGCAGTCCTGCCTGTGGGGGGCAAATTCCCTAGGTCTTTCTTCCCCGTGCTGCGTCTGAGCCTTCCTGAGGCCGTGTGCAGGTCCCCTGGGGGACACATGGGGCCAACATACGGCATCGTCTGTCAGGGACGGGCACCTTCCCTTGCAGCGCCTCCTGCCACTCCTCCAACCCCACCCAAGCACACTTAAGCTCACTCACACACAAACACAGTGCACACTCACTCCCGTGCACTCCCATGCACACTTGCTCGCGCACACTCTCACACAGGTACGTTCAATCGCACGCAAACACCCACGCGGAAGACCTGTGCTTCTGCCGCCCCCAGAAGCCTGCATGATCCCCTGTGGCCGCGCTGTTCTTAGCTCCATACCTGTGCACAGGCTGCTTCCTCTCCTGGGAATGTCCTTCTTGTCCAACACGCAGTCTCCCGCCCCTCCTCCAAGACTCAGCAAAAATACAGTGACCGGCCCATTTGAGAGTCTTGGTACCTGCATTCCAGATGAGAGGCACAGTCAGGCAGTGCTCCCCTGGGCGCCTCCCCCGCCAGCCCCTCCTGCTCTTCACATGGAGTGGGTTGCAGCCTCTCTGGTCCCCACCGGACAGGTGCCTAGGTCTACGTTAACGGTTAATAAAGCCCTGTTACAGTGCATCTGCCATCCTCCCGAGGCTTCAGCAGCTGGGGACCATGTAGTGTTGGCTGGCCTCTGCCTGAGAGAGACCCCAGAGCAACGGGTGGTCCTAGAAGGCACTAGAAAGCCTGAGTGTGTGCTTATCACGAGAATGAATGAATGAATGAATAATAGCCAAAAGGAAGTAGTGTATTCTGCGTGCCAGGCACTGTACTAAATCTCCACATGCAGCATCTCATATAAACTTCACCCAGAAGTGGGTCCCGTCAGGGTTCTCAGGTTGTTAGTACTCTCAGGTCAAATAACTTGCCGGCGATTACTCAGTGAGAGATTGACAAAGCCAGGGCTTGACTGCAGACAGCCTGGGTCCAGACCCAGCGTTGGAAGGAAGGAAGGAAGGAAGGGAGGGAGGGAGGAAGGAAGGAAGGAAGGAAGGAAGGAAGGAAGGAAGGAAGGAAGGAAGGAAATGGGAGGGAGGGAGGAAGGAAGGAAGGAAGGAAGGAAGGAAGGAAGGAAGGAAGGACAGATAAATCAGGCCAGGACAGACGTGGGGCTGGAGTCCAACCTGCCCGTTGGAAGAGGTTGTGCCTTCAGAGCTGTTGCTGCCATAACATTAGGCTTTTCTGCCTGAGGGGATTGGCATCCTGCGCTGGGTCTCAGGTTCAAGGCCTCTGGGGTCTCAGGTTCAAGGCCTGGAAGGCACGGAGGCCAGAATTCCTGCTGAGCACCGTGGGCGGGACCGGCCTGGAGCAGGGCCAGCCTGAGGGTCAGCTGGCTCTCGCCGCAGGGGGAACAGGAAACCTGGATGGCGGATTGGGCAGGTTTCGGTTAGAAATGGCATTTGTAATCCTCTTTTAGATTATTTTTTAAATTTATTTTTTGGTTACGGTTGACATACAATATTAAATTAATTTCACGTGCATAACATAGTGATTAGACATTCATATACCTTACGGAGTGATCCTTTTTAAATTGAATGATTAGAAATGATAGTTACAGAAAAGATAGTAATGACATGAGAATGTGTGTATGATAAAATACGTGAAAATATCAGATTGGAAAACTGAACTCAGCCTCATGAAATGAACATATGTACATAGGAAGGGGACTAAAGAAATGCATGGACACTGATGGTGGGGTTGCCCGGGGGGGTTTGGGGGCAAATTAAAGGATTTGTGCAGTGGGAATGAGTTGCTTTTCATCATCAGGAAAAAAAAGAATGTAACTGATATATCCTGCAGCAGTAGGTAATCATTGCTTGAATGATTGAATGAATGAATGAATGAATGAAAGTAAAATGCAATTATCAGTGGAATAAAGACAAACCATGTTTCCTTCCAGAAAGGGAGATTGAATTGCGATCCTACCTTTGAGCTTGAAGAAATGATTCTCGAATCGAAGCCACTTCACAAAAAGAAGAAGAGGTTGGCGAAGAACAGGTCCCGAGAAGGCACGAAGGACAGCTGTCCTCTGGTGAGTGCTGTCCCGCACAGACCCCAGGCGGAGAGGATCCTACACGCCCGTGGGTGGACTTGAGCTAGGCTGCCTTTTAGGAAAATGGAGGCACATCCTGCGCCCTTGCAAATACCTCCATTTGCTATAAACAGATGCCTCCACCCAACAAGTGGTCTTTCCCAGCACAAAGCTGAACGAGTCCCTGGAGCTCTAGCTCTGTCCCCAGTGCAGAAACCTCACGTGTCCCCAGGCAAGAGGAGCACAATGCCAGTGACATCAGCACCCTGGTGAGCAGCCTTTGGAGAGGTGTCAGGCTCCGGAGGCAGCCAGGGCCACATTGTGACTTTCGTGGGACCCTGGACACGTTGGCTTTGTGGGCTGCTGTATTCATTTTCTAGGCTGTCATAGCAACATGTCGCAAACTTGGTGGCTTAAAATAAGTGGAATTTATTCTCTCACAATCCTGGAGGCCAGAAGTTGAAAATCAAGGTATCGACAGAGCCATGCTCTCTCCAGAGCTGTAGGAAGGTCCTTCCTTGCCTCTTCCAGCCTCTGGTGGTGGCCAGCCACCTTGACATTCCTTGGCTTGCACACATCACACCAGTCTGTCCCTCCATTGTCACATGGCGTTTTTCTCTCCGTGGCTCTCTGTGTCTTCACATGGCCTTCTTCTAAGGACACCAGTCACTGAATTCAGGGCCCAGTGTAGTCCAGTAGGACCTTGTCTTAACTAGTTACAGCTGCAACGGCCCTATTTCCAAATACAGTCACAGTCACCAGTTCCAGGGTGGTTAGGACTTCAGCATATGTTTGGGAGGTAGGGGCACAGTACAACCCACAACTGCGCCTTCCTTCGTAAAAATAGTTTTTAAATTATATTTTATGGCTGCATTGGTATGAAGATGCATATAACTTTCAGTGCTAAGCGTTCATTTTTTCCTGCTTATTTTAAAAGAAATTAAAACATCCCGGTAGGTCCTGCAAGCATTGCGGAGCCCAAGCCCTGTGCCCGCTGAGTCTAGTGCAGACGTTGGCCTGGAGACGCCTGCGTGCGTTAATAGGGCGCAGAGTGGCGGGTCCTGCAGGGACATGCAGCGTGCACCCCGCCTTCAGGCAACCCCAAGGACGTGTGTCACAGAGCACTGTGACTGGTGGCTCTTGGCACCTGTCCTTAAGGAGAAAGAGCACTTTTGCATGACGGACGGTATCAAATGTCTTTCCCACCCCGTCATGCTTAATTAGGCCTGATGAATATGCACGCCATCGAGAAACCAAGCTCATGCTTTTCAATCTGTATTTCATTCTAACATAGCTTTCAAGTTGGATTTAATGGCTTACATTTGAGAAAAACGTCTCCTTGTCTGCCAGGCTTCCCGTGGCCCAGCCGCCCGTACAATCACGGTTGCTCCCGCCGCTTAGCGGGTCCCCGGCCCCCAGCATCCGCGCTCCCGTGTAGACCAGTCTCTGGTCGTCCTCTCTCCTTCGTCAGGGCTCCCTGGGTGATGTCCCGTCACTTACAGCCGCCTGTCTGTGCTCTCTGACAGAACGGACACCTGCAGCAGTGCTTGGAGACCGTGCGGAAGGAATTCATAGTGTTCAACAGAGAGAAGTAAGTCCGCCCCCAGCGTCCGCGGGGCAGAGCCCTTCTGACCACAGGTCTGGGGGAGGGGAGGAGAGCCGAGGTCTCTGCCCGCCCAGGGAAGCCAGCCCTGACGCTGGCAGGGGAGCAGCAGGCAAACCCCGTGTTCACATCCTGCCTCTGCTGCCTGGCTGCCTAAGGCGCTAGCTTCCACTCTGTGGGCCTCGGGGTCTTCGTGTGAAATGCGGAAGCCACAGCAGGGCAGGGCCGAGCTGGCACGGGGCAGGCGGGAAGTGCCCGAGCTCAGAAGCGAAACTGCCTGGGGTCAAGGTGTGGCTCTGCGGGGCCTGAGTGACCTGAGGCCAGTCACCTACCTGCACTGCGCCGCATTTCCAGCACTGCCAAAATGGGGGTCACCACCTTGCAATGTGGTTGTTCTAAGATCAGATGAGGGTGTTGATACACTGCCTGGCATGGTAGGAGTACTCGTGAAAATTATTATTATCATTAATTATTATTATTATTGTTATTATGATTATTTAATGGGGTGGGCCGTGCTGCGACCCCAGCATCATGGGCTGGTTGGGTTGGGAGGGGCTCCGCTGGGGTCTGAGCTGGCTGCAGGGTGGCCCTCGCAGGCGCCGGTCAGCAAAAGAAGCAGAGGCCCGGGCTGCTCACAGCCACGTTCCCGTGTCACCCCCTGTGACTGATTAGCCAGGCCCGGGGCTCCGGCAGGGTGGCTCACAGGGTGGGAGCCCGCGTCCTGCAGGCAGCACTGACAGCGGATCGGCCCCTGGGAGCAGCGCTGAGCTGGGCCTTGGGATGCTTCCTGCCCCCCGGGAGCGGCAGCGGCATAAATGGCAGGGGGACCCCGTCAGTCACCAGTGCTCCGCACATGAGAGCGGCACAGGGGCACGGGCTGCGGTGAAGGGCAGCCCGCGTGGGGGCTGTCACACCAGGCGCCGGGCTCAGCCTGGATGTCAGAGCAGCTTCCTGAGCCGCCACCCGCTGTGTCCTGAAGGGTGAGGTAGGGACAGGCGTGGAAGTCCAGCTTGAGAACAATACCCAGGGCGGCGAGGCGGCGTGGCAGACTCGGGGCCCACAGCTGGTGAAGGAGTTGGGATTCCTGGAGCTTGTGAGGAGGTGGGCGATAGCAAGTGAGGGATCTGTCCGGGGCATGGCTGTTTGGGTTCCAGCCCATGGGCCGGTGGGCAGGGCCCCTTTCCCAGTGGGGACTGGGAAGGGGGAAGGAGGCAGCAGCCTGTCATTTATCCTGGGGGGCCAGTCTCACGCACTGGGTGAGTCTCCTTGGCCCCCTGCTCTGGCCCACGGAACCAGAGGGGCCTCTGTGACCACAGCCTGTGAGACTTGGGGCAGGGGGCGCTGACGCGGTGCCTGGTTTCCGAGCTCATCGCAAGGTCCCTGCCGTCCTGCCAGCTCTGAGGCGCCAGGTCCCTGCCCAGCCTGAGAAACCCAGTGCTGGGAATTCCTGCTCACACCGCCCTGGGCGCTTTCCACCATGAGCCGTGGTGGGCTCCAGGCAGCCTTGCCTCTGTCCTCCTCTGTTCAGGCGGGGCCTGAGGGGCCCTCAGTGAGCCCGGGACGAGGCTGAGCAGCGAGGCAGGGAGGAACCCCAGTGAGAGCCGTCGCATTTCACACTGTGCTGTGTGCAGAAGATGCCCTAATTTGGGGTCTGAAGAATCCAAATGTTGCCTCTTAACAGAAAACAAAAACGAGGTGTCCCCCCTTGTGTCATTTAGGGGTTGCATCCGGCTGTGTTTGCAGAAACACAACCATATAGTTGCTTCAACCAATTCTCTGTTCTTTCTCACGCGGAAAAGTGAATGGGTTAGGGAAATGCAGTAGGATCGCTCCGCTGTGCTGAGGACCCCTTTGAGAGCTGTGCTCATGGATTTGAAGCGAGGCTGGCACAGTTACCAGGAGTTGGCCACATAAAGAACGGGGGGAAGCCGTTTTCCAGAGGGGAGGAGTAGGGTGAGCATATACAAAAGCACAAAGCATGACAGAAGGTGGCTCGTAACTGTGACCCTAGGGTCTGACCGCGGGTCTGTCCTTTCACCCCTGCCGTTCTGCCCACCTAAGGGGTTCCCCAGTGGCCCTGAAGGCTAATAGGCTACCTGTCAGAGCAGGTGTGCTGGGAGCAGCACCCTTCCCTCAGCGTCTCTCCACCCGCCATAGGAAGTGTCTGTGGGGAGGGCTTGGCCGTGTCCCACCAGGATGCCCTCTGAGCATCCCAGTGACGCCTCCCCATCAAACCCCATCCCTGTTCCATGACGGGATTGGGAAGGGGGCCACGTTGCATCTATCGTGGCCCTCCCTGCTGCGGTTTCTTATCTGCCAAAACGCCTGTGAGACGTCAATTCATGAGGCATTGTGTCCTCCAAACCATTGTGTTGACGTTCTAGCCCCCAGGACCTCAGAATGTGACCTTATTTGGAACTAGGGTTGTTGCACATAAACTTAGTTAAGATGAGGTCATACTGGAGTAGGGCACCCTTAATCTAATATGGCTGGCGTTCTTATAAGAAGGGAAGAGACAGGGACACGGGGAGACGGCCACGTGATGATGGAGGTGGGGACTGTAGTGACGCATCTACAAGCCAAGAGTTGCCTGCCACCACCAGAACCCAGAGGAGCGGCACAGAACGGAGTCTTCCTCAGAGCCTCCAGAAGGAACCAACCTTGATTTAGACTTCCGGCCCCCAGAACTGGGAGACAATGCATCTTTGTTGTACGCCTGTTCTGTTGGTGGCAGGGGTGCTTTGTTACAGCCACCCCAGGACACTAGCACAGCACCCGTCTGAACCAGAGGCCGAGAGAACAGGCCTGGGAATCTGCATTTTCACATGTCCTTCTAATCATCCCAGTGCCTAATGGCGAGAGCACTTCTGTAGCGGATGCACCATGGGTCCTCTGGGTGGTCCTGAGCCACAAGCATCCCTGGCTAACTGCAGCCCTCTTTCTCCCTTGCCCTGGGTTATTCATCTGCAACTCTGAGCCCTCAAGGGCTGAACGATGCTCCCAACAGCCTTAACCCCCTGCACAGCCACCTGCCTCCCGCACGAGCCACATGTGCTTCCCCAGCTAGAAAGGGCTCTCGGGCAGAGATGTCCCCCCTCCAAACGTATCATGAGGAAGCCGTCATCGGCATGAAGTGCCAAGGGGCACACGGGCCGGGCATCCACTGTGTCTGCCCCAGGAGATTTTCATTCAGTCCTTTGACAGACATGCCATAGTCCTGGACTGAGTGAGGCCTGGGGACACAGAAGTGGATGTGGCAGGACCTGTGCGCTCAGGATGCTCACAGCCTGGGTGTGTGTGTGTGTGGCAGGGGGTGCTGGGATGCAGATGTGCATGGGCCACTGTGGGGACGTGCAGGAGATGCCCTGGGTCTGACCTCTCTGGACCTCAGTTTCTAAACGGAGAACAAAATTATAAAGCAGCACTGCCTAATTTTCTGGCAGTGCAGCTTATGATTGGTTAATGGTCTCAGCCACCACCGAGCCAAGTAGAGTGTCTGCCTCCAGGCACTGGCCAGGCTCTGAAGGCCTCAGCAGCTGAGGCATCCATTGGTTTGAGGCTTGTGCTCCTATTTTTGACCATTTGGTTGCAGAGTTGACCTATACCAGCTCCTTCAGGCATACGAGAAAAAGCTCCACACATGTTAACGCATGCAAATTTCTGTCCACAAAGGATGTGCACTTGCCAGTTCTGCAAATGGCAATCCAACTTCTGTCCAGCTAGGACCCCCTGTTACTCCATTTAATTACAACTGGCCTCCTTTCCTCCGGGGATGCTGACAGAGCGAGCCAACCTGTACAAACATCCTGCTCACAAACATCATTCGGCTGTGTCCTACTCCTGTGGGTCGAGACTGTCTGTCACAGACACTTCCTTCCGGCATCTGATAGTTGAGTTTGGGAGGTTGAGAGCACTCACATCCATCACTCAGATTTCTGGTTACAAAGCTGAGAAAATTAAATGTTCTCCTTATTGCAGCAATAACTAGCCTATTTGCATCAGTAGACTTGAGCTATGCCTAATAGGATATGTAAAACCCTTTTTCATTTCCTCCTGAGCCGTAGATTACTGGGCTGTGGACTCATCATATAAGTGAGCTCTCGGGCCTGCCGTAATGGTTTCATATCTCTGTCTTGGTTCGTGGATTCCTATTTGAGCAATGTGAGCCTTTCTAATTCCTTCAGAGCGTGGAGAAATCATCCCATGCTCTCTTCTCTCCAGGGCCACACTCAGCACTGAATGGCATGGGGTTCAGTGGAGAGAGCAGGGGTGTTGGAGATAGACAGGCCCTGGGTTTGAATTCAGCTTCCCAAAGTCACATGGCTGGTCAGTGGCGGGCCCAGGGATGGAAACAGCCTGGCTCTACGCCCAGGCTTCACTCCATCAGAGACTTCGTCACAGAGAACGTGGACCATTTCCTCTCTATCCTGCTCCTCACCCGCTTTGCCTGTGAGTGTGACACATAGAGCCTGGCCCACTGATAGTGATGGTGGAAAGGATGAGTGGAAGAATAGGGGGATGAGTGGGTGGATGGGTGGAGGGAGGGTGGGTGGCCATTGATCAGATAGATGGGGAGCAGTAATGAATGGAAATGTGGGAGTAGATGAATGAAAGGCCAGGCAGAAGGGTAGTGGATGGGTAAGTAGGGGATATATGAGGGGTCAGTGGATGAGTAGGTAGTGAATGAATGAAATGGATAGATGGATGAATGGATGGATGGATGGATGGATGAGTAGATGGATGATGGTGGTGGATATATGTATACGTCAATATATGGATGAATGATGAATGGATGAAATAAATAAATGGATGGAAGGATGAATACGTGGCTCGTGGGTATATTTGAGATGGACAAATGAATACGTAGGTGGATAAGCTGGTAGGTGGGTGGACAGGTGGGGTTGAGGGTAGATGGATGGACATAGGGGATTGGATGACAATTACATGGATGGGTGGATAGATAGATGTATCGATGGATGAGTGGATGATGAATGAGTGAGGTAGATAAATGGATGGGTGTGTGTATGAGAGGAGAACAGGTGGGGGGTGAATGGATGGATGAGGGATGGATAGGTAGGTGAGTAAGGGTGGACAGGTAGAGGTGGGCAGGGGACAGATAGGTGGACGTATGGGAATGGATGGATGGATGGTTGGACGGGTGGATGAGGTAAATGACTGGGCACATAGGTGAATAAATAGATGAACATCGTGGGTGGGAGAATACATTTATGGATGAGAAGATGGTGGATGGATGATGAGTGATTGGTGGGTGGGTGGGAGTGCACATGTAGTAGGAAGAATGCAGGCTTTGGAGCCTCCCAGAACTAGCTTAGAATTCCAGCTCGCAGGCTGTGGGTGGATGGGTGGATGCCCAGAGAAGGGCCCTTCCTCCTTGATTCTGCCTCCATGGCTCACACTGAACCTGGTGGTAACTTACAAGGGGCATGACTCACGCCTCATTACGTCACTGCTGTAGGCCTCCAGGCCTCGTATTCTACAAATGACCCTCCACAGAGGAGGGGAGACTTGAAACAGCTAATTCTACTCCTTAAAATAGCCCTGGCCAAAAGAGGGAGCCAAACTGGCTGAACATCAGTTCCAGAGAGGACTCTGGTCTACACTGCATTTTTTTTCCACTTTCTCACTGGTGTCCCTTCATTTCAATTCTTCCCCCTCCTTCCCTCCCTTCCACCCTCCTTCCCTGCCCCCCTCCAGCTATCTGCATCCCATACCAATCCCTAAACCCCAGTTCAAATGCCGCCTCCTGCAGGAAGCCTTCTCTGATCCACACAGGATTTCAGAATCTGTCTCTCCCTCACTGGGGCTGCCTTGTCACTATGCTCCACTCTTTCTATGCAGCTTTTGACGTTTTATTTTGTGTTATAATTGGAGACATGCAGGAGTCTAGAGATAGTAATGCTGGTTCCAAAATAACCATATTTGGGTACATATGCTGTTTTAAAATAGAAAATCCCAGCTTAAGGGCATTTAAAAGGAACTCTTAATGGGATTCATTTTCGTCTTGCGACAGACCCAGAGAACTGTGCAGCATCACAGTTGTGAACCCAACAGCGATGTCCTACTTTGCAAGTAACAGCGTTTCTTTTCTTAGTCATTTGAGTTTTCCCCCAGTTTTGATCTGATTTTCTCCCCAGAGGTGACTCAGTCTCTTTGAAGGGAGGCGAGGTGAGAGGGGGCAGGGAAGAAGGTTCTCAGGCACTTTCCAGCCTTGCTAAGGAGTGGGCCCACCTCCTCCTCCCCGCTCCATTCTCCCCTCCCCAAACACTTCCGGTCTCGATCTCAGCTCTGTCCTCTGGCCCCTGGTACCCGCTGCACTAGGATGATGTGTTTTAACCCTGACCACTTTTCCCAGTCGACCTCTCTGAGGACGGCAAACCTCAGGGGCAGAGGAGCTGCACACCTGGTGCTTGTCTTTGCAGATGGACAAGGGGCAGGAGGCAGCAGCCCAGGTTCACTGTCATAAAATACAGTTGCTGCTGCTGGGATTTCATTAGTTACCTGAGGACTCGCTCAAGTACCCGCGCTGTGGCAAACACTAGGCATCCCTACCCTGCACACACGTGCACATACATTTACACACACACACACATACACACACACACACACACACACACACACCTACCTGTGATCCGTCCGAGGCCATGGACTATGTTGTGTTCATCTGGGACTCATCCACAGTGCCCTGCATGTGACAAGGACACAAATTTCATTTAATTCAAACAATAAGTCTGCACTCTGTCTGACCGAACCTTCTAATGTGGAAAGTGTGTTCACGCTAAACCCCGTGTCTTTCAAAACAAGGCAGAAATGCAGTATTATGATGATCGCCAGCTCTGTACGCGATATTTTGCACACATTCCCTCTGATTCCCTCTGCCTCCTGCCAAGCGAAGGGAACTAGTTTTAGGTAGGGAAGCTGAGGCGCAGAAGATAAGCAGGACCCGGGAGTCAGGGTTTGGGCTGAGCTCTTCCCTGCTCTCAGACTTCCTGCTGCCTCCTTCGAGGTCTCAAGTTCCTGTTTTACCTGCACCACATGCAGGGACGGCTGTGGGATAGTGCATGACCCTGCATGACCCTGAACTTGAAAAGCAGAAAAAAAAGGGATGTTGACATCTCAGACCACGTGGACGGTGACCTGGGGCCACTGTTACGAAATGCAGTGTGCAGTATCAGTCTGTTCCGGGCTAGTTTGTAAGTCTGGGTGGCCACCTGCTTGGGTATTTGTGGGACAATCTGGTTAGTGTCCATCTCCCCATTAGGTGATAAGCTCTGTGCTTTGCTTGGCAGGGTTTCCTCTGCTCCCCGGCAGTGGCCGCTCCATCAGCGGACATTCAGTACGTGCGTATGGATGAGCGATGTGGGGGGCTCACACCGTCACTGCCTGTGTGGGCAGGCAAAATACACCCGCGCTCCCTATAGCCTTCACAAGGAGCCCTGAAGTAGGCATTAGCGTCTCCATTTCACAGATAGAGAAACTGAGGCTGTGTGTGTCAGGGCGCTCACCTGAGTGCGCCTGAGCCCGCCTTTGACCCCAGGTGCACCTGGCTCCAAAGCACGTGCAGCACGCTGGACTCCTGTGGTTGTGTTTCCCCAGGCCCAGGGAAGATGTGGGCTGAAGTCACTCTGGGCTCCTGAGTCACTCTGCTCGCCCAGGCGTGTCCCGGACATCTTGCTGCCCCTGCCCTTGTCACTAACTCAGGCCTGTGCTGTGCTTGCTTGCAGACTGAGGAGACAGCAGGGGCAGAGCAGCCAGCCCCTGGACGCCGAGGGCCGCGCTGACAGCCAGGCCCAGGACAAGCTTCAGGACGGGCGCAACAACAACATCCTGGCCCACGCCTGCTCCCGAGGCTGCAGCAGCTAAGCCAGCCCCTGCGGCTGCCAGGCGGGACTGCACACACCTCTGCCCCGCCCACCAAAGCCCCTCTCTGCCACGACGGTCCCTCTCACCCCTGACAACATCAGATGCAGAAAGAGCCCTGGGCTCGGAGCTGGGGGTCCTGGGTTCTGGTCCCAGCTGCCGGAATGATTCCCTGTGCCACCTTGGACAAGCCGTGCCCTTCCTGTGCCTCAGTTTCCTGCATCTGCCAAAGGGGTTAAACAGCTCTTTGCCCCACCTTGAATTGCAAGGTTATTGGGAGAATCCAATAACCTCGCCAAACCTTTGACATTTCTAAAATTGTTTACACGTGCAGACTAGAACCTTGATGTTGGACGTGCACTCCCATCCCCCAAAACAATCAGACCACCGCAGCTTTGCCATTTGGTCACCCTGGTTCGTTAGGCAGTGGTCTCGAACATGCCGCTCAAAGGCAAAATAACCATCTGATGTGTTTGTCCTTCCTCTGGAAACACCGGTCCCCAATCCTGGAGCCAAACCAGAAGTGTCTTCATTTGCATTCTCTGCCAGGTCAGTCTTTAGACCGTCCAAGGTGGAGTGGCCTGCAGACCGGCCTGGTCCCCAAGGTCTTGATGGAGCAGATGCACTTCTCCCTCCATTCACAGAAGACTCCCGCACCCCATTTTTAATTTCAGCAGGACCCCACCCCCACCCCATTCCCAGGGTTGGGATGGCAGGAAGATGCAAGTTCAGAATGAAGGTCAAGTTGCTGACCATCAGTGAGTCACTCCTACAGAGTGTCACCGGAGGTCCCATTGGTAGACCTCTGACTCCACCCGCCTTCCAGGATTTCTCTCCTGGGAAGGGTATAAAGTCGTCTCATCAGGATTGTCTTAGAGAGAGTCCCCAACTGCCATGGACAAGGGGGTTCATATTGATGAATTCGGAAGCATGAGTCATGATAGAAAGTTTACTCTAGGAGGACAGTGGGTTCACACCAGAAACAGACTAGGATCTGTTCAGGGAGCAGCTCGCCTTTGAATTGGAAAGTGCTGTTGCACCCGGGAAAAGCTTAGACTTGGAGTCTGTTCAGAAGCCAGCCCTGCTGTTCACCAACCAGAAGCCTGTGGGTAAATCGCGTCATCACTTGGGCATCCCTGTCCTCCTTTGAACATGGGGGAAGTAAAACTCACCTTGCAGGTGGTTTCAGGGAGAAACGGGATCCTGTGCGTAAGGCACCCACCCGCTCACTGAACGGCACCACTCCGTCAGCGGCGCCTTCGTCACCTGGAGAAACGTGCCTGTTTCACTCCTTGGGCTGGTGGATGCGCTGTGGAAATAAGCCTGGTGTTTGGGTTCTTTGCACTGTGTTCCTGGCACCATTAACATCTGTACCCCGTCGATGCTCAGCTGTGGTTTTGCCTTTTCATTCCACTTCCAATTTTCCCTTTTTACATTATAAAGCAGTCCTTAGGGCTGCCGAGCGCTTCGATTTCGTAAGAGACGTTTTAATGTATGGTGTAGTTTTATATTTTTATTTTTTTTTAATGGTCATTGTTTTCCTCCTTTGAACCAAGGCTCTTTCTAGATGGTGTTGCTCAAGTGCGGCTACTCGGCTTACACACATTTTAGTCTTCGTTCCCCGTCGGCACTGTCCTGTCCCCTCCAGGAAATCCCGGGCTGCTCCTCTCTTCACTGGGACCCCAGCAGCACCAGGGTGTTCTCAGTGGGAGGTCTGCATGAATTAGCGGGCAGGAGCTGGAGGCAGCCCGCGAGACGCTGGGTTTCCTGGCTCTATTCAAGTTGGCGTTGTTCCTTGTTCAGAATAAACTTTCTTGGATGTTCCTTCCTACAACTTTGTTCTTATTCAAGGCTAGGTGGGATGTACGATGTCCTCTTAGAGTCAAGACCTTGAGTTTAATGAGACACAGAGACAGGGCAGGGGTTGGGGAACAGTCAGGTCAGTGATGTCTGCCCACAGAATAAAACCAGACTTGGCAATTCAAGGCTTTATTCCACTTGATCACAGTTTACATTATTATCATCATTATGACTGCTATTACCATCATCGCCATTGTTACTCTATACTTACAAAGGTGCAATCTGTACACGAGGGAAGAAAGACAGGAAGTTCTCTGCCTAAAGAAAAATACAAGATTTCCTCAAATTAACGGGCCAACCCTTTGCACAGCACACACGTGGGTAAATGAACCAGTGTTTGCTTCATGGTTCCGACTTCATTTTCCACCTCCCTGCTTTGGTCCCTCCTGTCTTCTCTACCTGGGATGCCTTTCAACTCCCACCTGTACGTATCAAAATAGGTGTTTCTCAAGGACCAGTTCTGCCTCTTTCGTGATGCCCCCAGGGTGTCCTGGCAGCGCTGGCCCAAGCCAGAAGCAATGTCTTGCATGTGCTCTGTCACACATTTCCTGTACCTGTCTTGTGGCTCTGAGTGCTGTCACCTGCACAGTAGGGTTAATTTTGCCCATGGCTGAGCCTTCTTGCCTTCGAGCCAGTGAGAGAGGACAGGTCCTTCACATGTCTCTCTCCTCCTCCTCCCCTCCTTCCAGTCTTGGTTCATAAGGTAATCAGTGATGTCTGAATGAATGAGCTGAAAGCGAGCCCAGCACCAATCGTCCAGGTGGGTTAATCTTGCTTTTGGCATCTCCCTCCTGCTTCCAGTCTGGCCTCACTGCCACTGCACAGGGTTTTCGTCTCTCCTGGGCCCAGTGCTTTCCTGGAGGCTGCCCCTGAATGGGGTGCCCAATCCTCACCCCCTCTTCAGAGCCATCTCTCCTGAGTCCCAAGTTCCGCACGAGTTGTCCCTGCTCCTGCATCCAAAACCCCATTCTCAGAGTACAGAGCCCCTGTCCAGTATTGGTGAGAAACCAATCTTATGAAAGAAATACGTACCCTAGCAAGAATATGTGTAGGCTTTAAAATTCGGGCACAGTAGGACAAGCTACAGACTGGTGGCATCAACAGGGCTGTCCTGCGTCCACTGAAATATAGATCAGGCTTCTCGTGCCAGTGTGTAAACACGGGTCGTATTTAGAGTAATATAAACCCAAAGCTGGATGCTCTGTGTCCCTGCCCTTTTACCAGTAAATATTGCAGTATACTGTCCAGAATCCTCCTTCCTGAATTTGCCCCAACCACAGCATTCCTTCATGGAAGCCAGAGGTCCCCTCCCCACCAGTGGAGAGCCCCCACAGAGCCTGTGTGCTGCCCCCAGCTTTTGTCATTCTTCTGCTCTGTGGACCATCATGGCTCCTGGCCCCCCATGGACTGTGGGCCTCACTCCAGCCTTCTGCTGGGACGACCTCCACACCTTTACTCCCGCTCCAGCCAGTAGGGACACAGGTTGAACTTGTTAAAATCAGCTCTTTAAAAATTGGTGCCAGGGCCGGCCGAGTGGCGCGATGGTTAAGAGCTGGCTTGGGATGCCAGAGGGCCCCGGTTCGGATCCCACATATGAGGGCCAGTGACACTGCCCTCCACAGCTAAGATGCTGAACAGCAGCTCAACCTGGAGCTGGGCTGCCATGAGTCGCCGGCGACGGCGTGGGCTGCAGTCCCTGTGGCAGTGCATTGCCATGGGCTACCAGGTGTAGCCAGCAGCCAGCGTGAGCGGCCAGCAGCCGCCATGAGCGGCCATCCAGAAGCCGGCGACTGATCTGCCTCGCCCGGGAAGAGCGCAATGATGGTGCCAACATGGGCCAGTGAAGCAACGTCCTCCACAACTAGACTGAAGAACAAAAGGACAGCAACTTGTCTGTTCCCCTTTCCCCAAATCCCCAGCACTGTTCCCCTCCCCCAATTCCCCAATAAAATCTTAAAAAAAAAATTGATGCGAACCCAGAGCCATGGGCCATGGGCAACCAGTTCTTGCCTTTATACCTCCCTCGCCTTCTCAGAGCACCTGAGCGTGGTGTGGGGCTAGTCCCTGGAGTGTCCCACCAGTGTCACACTGACCCTGGGGTCTCTGCCTCCAGATGCTCCCCAGGCCCCTTGCCAGGGCTTATCTCTCAGCTTCCTTAAGGAGCCCGCACCCATCAGACAGGTCTGCACCCATCTCCACTCCAGCCATGGACTGGTCCACTTCCCTTTCCAGGGTCCTCAGCCCACTCCCAGAAGAGCTCATGAGGCAGGCAGTGATTTCTGTGTCCTCACATCTCCACTAAGGCTGCTCCCACTGGGCTCACTGGTTCTCTCTGGAATGGGCACAAGCCAACCAACCCGAGATCGGCCCAGCAAGAGCTGGCTCTGGGGTGGTAGACCTGTGTTCAGATCAGGGCCCCACCATTCCCCGTGTGGCCCTCAGCAAGTGCTCACATCTCAGCATCAGTTTCTACACCCACAGGCAGGGCCTGGTAACTCCCACTCTGCCTTCTCTAAGTATATTTATGAAGGTCAGCTCTGGGGCTTGAGTGAGCACAAGTGTTAATTCATAGACCTTTGTACAAAGCACAAGTCCTTACCAAGCAAGGCAGCGTTTTCTTTTTTTTAATTAAATGTATCAGGATAACAGTGGTTAATACCATTACATAAGTTTCAGGTGTATACAACCAAGGAAACCATCAAGAAAACAAAAAGACATCCTACTACAATAAATAGGAGAAGATATTTGCCAGTTATACATCTGATAAGGGGTTAATATCCAAAAATTTTAAATCTCATACAACTCAACACCAAAAAAACAAACAACCCAATTAAAAAATGGGCAGAGGACATGAAGAGACATTTCTCTAAAGAGGACATACAGATGGCCAACAGACATATGAAAAGATGCTCAACATCACTAATCATCAGAGAAATGCAAATAAAAACCACCACGAGATACCACTTCACCCCGGTCAGAATGGGATCATCAATAAATCAACAAACAAGTGCTGGCGAGGCTGTAGAGTAAAGGGAACCCTGGTGCACTGCTGGTGGGACTGCAAATTGGGGCAGCCACTATGGAAAATAGTGTGGAGGTTCCTCAAAAAAATTAAAAATAGAACTACCTTATGACCCAGCAGTTCCACTCTTGGGTATTTATCCAAAGAAACCCAAAACACTAATTCAAACAAATACATGCACCCCTATGTTTACTGCAGCGCTATTCACAATAGTCAAGATATTGAAACAACTGAAATAACCATCAATAGATGCTTGGATTAAGAAGATACGGTATATCTATACAATGGACTATTACTCTGCCATAAAAAAGAATGAAATCTTACCATTTGCAACAACATGCATGGACCTAGAGGGTATTATGCTGAGTGAAATAAGTCAGAGAAAGACAAATACCATATGACCTCACTTATATGTGGAATCCACAGAACAGAAGAAACGAGCAAACAAAACAGAAATAGACTCAGATACAGAGAACAAACTGATGGTTGCTAGGTGGATGGAGTTGCTAGATGGAGGGGGGTTGGAGGATGGGGGAGAAGGTGAAGGGATTAGGAAGTACAAATTGGTAGTCACAAAATAGTCACAGGGATGTGAAATACAGTATGAGGAATACAATCAATAATGTAAAGACTAAGTAGGGTGTCAGATGGATAGTGGACTTATGGGGGGAATCACTTCATAGACTATATAAATGCCTAACCACTGCACTGTACACCTGAAACTAATATAAAGTAATAATGAATGTCAACTGTAATTTTATATATATATATATATATTTACGGGATGTAAAGTACAGCATAGGGAATAGAGTCAATGGTACTGTAATAGCTATGGACGGTGTCAGAAGGGTAGTAGACTTGGGATTATCACTTTGTGAGGGGTGTAAATGTCTAGTCACTATGTTATTTTGTACACCTGAAAATAATAATAATAATAAAGTTCCAGGTGTACAGCTTTATAATACAGCATCTCTATACTCTATTTTGCATGCTCACCACCCAAAGTCCAGTCTCCTTCCATCACCATGTATTTGATCCCCTGTACCTCACTTTCCTGTGATGCCACAGTTCCCAGGCAGTGCCGGGTCCTGCTCCTCCCCCAGGAATCCCAAGAGGGGCCTTGGCACTCCTTAGACCACCAGCCTGCTGGTTATAGGGACCCTCTCCATTGTACAGATGACAAGAGCAGGACCACTATAGACAGTGGTGACATCTGTGGACGTCTCAGGAACAATCCCTGTGAGCAGCAGGTTCTGACTCCGCGGGCCAGGCCCGAGATCCTGCATTTCTAAGAAGCTTCCAAGTCATGCCGAGAATACTGGGCCACACTTGGACTAACTAGGATCTGGAACCTTCTGCCCTCAGGCCAACCTGGCCTTGCCCACATGTTTCGTGTTTCTACAGCTGCTTTCACACTACAACTGCAGAGTTGGGTAATTGCAACAGAGACCGTATGGGCTGCAAAGCTAGAAGTATTTACTATCTGGCCTTTTACAGAAAAATTTTGCTGACCACTGATGCAGAAGACAAATCTGAGACATTAAGTGGGCAGGTTGAAAATGCACAATAGCCTTGCTCGCTGGCAATTCAGCCCCATGAGGTCCCCATGGGGAAGGATTTGCAGAGAACCCCGTGGTCCATTTTGCCCTTGTGCGTTGACTGCTGGGCTTTTTCCCAACTGTGGACCCGGGTCAATAACCCCATCACAGATGGATATTATCAAAACTCATCCTCCGTCTTCTTCCTCCCCATGCTAGCAGGTCCTTCCGGCAGCCCTCTATACAGTCTCTGCTTTGTGCCGTTTAATTTCCTCAGCCCTTACCAGACTGGACCACTGATGGTGGGTGCCCCACCCACCCACTCCACACCAGGAACTCCATCATTGGGCTGGGGTGTTGGCCCCCGACACAGAGCTGCCTCACAGCTGCCCCTCGGGAGACATGGCGGTA